GGCCCCCCCTGCGGCGGGGGGGGGGCGGGCCCCCCCTGCCACAGACCACTCTCTCCTGCCTTCCCATCTCCCAGGGTGGTCTGGGCAGCAGGAGCTGGGGGTGGGGGTCCCAGATGGGGGCTCGGACCCCGGCTTGACTACTTATGGAGGTAACCACTGAGCTTCTCTGCCTTCCCTCTCTCACCAGGATGTGTAGGTATCCTCCGACTCACCCGGGAAATGTCCCATCACTGGAGAAGGAGGACGCTGCTGGGTGTGAGGCCAAGGAGAGAGGGTCGAGGGCGAGTGGTGCCCTCCTTCCTGGCCCTCCGGCCCGGACCTGAGGACACCGGCAGGACAAGCTGTCTGCAGTGAGCTCTTGGGAAGCTGAGGCACAGCGGTCCAGCTTTGGGGCCCTGCGCTGTGGAAGACGCCGCTGTTCCTGTCTCTGGCAGCCCAAGGTCAGCGCCCCAGGCCCGGCCTTGGCTTCCCCACCAGGGCCTCAGTAAGGACCATGGCAGGGGCGGGGCGGGGGGTGCTCCTTCGAGGAGCCTCTTGGCCTTTGGGAGTTTCTGGAGCCAGAGGGGAGAACATGACAGACCGGCCAATGATGGCCGTAGATGACAGGCTGGTCCCTCCGAGGTGTTCGCAGAAGGCCTATGGGTGGAATGGTGTGCTGGCTTTTTCAAAGGCTTTGGCTGGAGGATGTCACGGACCAGGACAGGGTTCCACATGAAATCCGCGAGCTGGCGAGGTCCAGTAAGTGCTGCCAGCACTCACAGGGTCTTCTGAGCAAGAGACGGGGTCGGCCTGTCTGAGGGCACGGCACGGCCTCACTCAGACATCAGTTTTGTATCAGCAGCAAAGAGGTTCCGGTCCGTGATTCGTCCAGAAGAGGACTCCATCCAGAACGTGGCAGAAGCGAAGGGTAGCTGGTAAGTGAGAGGCCTTCTCCTGGGGACCCACCTGGAGGCACAACGCGCGTCCTGAGCAGCCTTGGGCCAGTCGCACGACCTCTCTGTCTCTCCGTTTGCTCACCTATGCATGAGGGAACTGGTTCTGCTTGCCTCAGAGGGCTGGCTCCTTCAGCTGGGTCCCCGAGTTGGTTCTCTGGGCAGTGCCCCCTTCACATCACCCATGGGGAGAAGCCCACAGGTCCTCCTGCCTCTGCCCAGGCTTCTCTGGCTGGAACTTTCTTCACAGGTGCCTGGGCTCGGAGCCTGCAGTCTGGGAGAGTGGGGAGCCCTCCTGCACGCGCTTGCTGCCTCGTCAGTGTCCCTGTGAGACATGGGGAGCTGAGGATCGCAGTGGCACATCTTAAATTAAAGGCCGGGCCATCAATCCCCTGGAGCAGACCGACATAACAAGGTGGGTGGCTCAGACTGCCACCTCACGGACAGTCGGGAGATATTAAAGAGCCGAGTCTCGAGTCCCCAAATCCCTTAACCAATTTCCCAGTGCCCAAGGGATCTGCATGCCAAGGGGAGTTCCCCAGGAGGGCCCGAGGGCTCTATTTCAGGACACCCTCTCTGTCTGGGGATGTCCACCTGCGATGGCCTTCCTGACTCTCCTGGCCTCCTGTTACCCCTGCCCGCACACTGGGGGAGTTAGCCCCACTGGAGTCAGGCTGCCCGAAGAGGTTGGGTGGAGAGCTTGGGTACCCGAAGCCAGGAGACTCGGGCACCCCGACGCTCGCTGTCTGCACACCTGGCCGAGTTGCCTAACCCTCCGGCTGTCAGCTTTCTCCCCTGTGAAATGGGAAGGGCAGCACTTCCTTCACAGGGTTGTTCTGCAGGTTGCATAAGCCACGCGATGCAGTGACACAGCGTCTGGCACATAGCGAGACCGCAGATACTAGCCATTAATGTTACTCTCCCTGGGCTCCCTGGGGTGGCATGGGCAGTACAGGTGCTGCTGCACTGTGCTGGAGACCATATGGGAAGGCTCTGGGTTCGAGTCCCAGAGCTATCTGAACACGTGGTATGGATGCATCCATGACCCTGGCTGGGGCAGGATTGTGGCACTAGGGCCCTGCTGAGGGTGACTCTCCCTCTCTTTGGAGATAGATAGGTAGACTTTTTTTGAAGTTTATTTTAAAATTTTATTCAGGATAGAGAGTGCATGCATGTCTGGACAAGGCAGAGAGAAGTCCCCCAACTGGGTCTTGCCATGCCACCAGCCCCTTCCCCGACCCTCCAGCTCCTCAGAATCGTGGGTGTACCCACACGCATGTGTACCCAGTGTGTTTCAGATTGACTGGGCTGGGGAACCGAACCTGACCATGGCCATGTGGCTTCTAGCATTGCGATTCAGCATGCAACTGGCTGCACCCTTGGGACTGGGTTGAAACACGGACTTTTGAAAAGAAAAAAAACAAACTTCCCTGGTATCCATACATAGGTCCTCCTCCCAGCTGTCGTTTTCTCTTAGGATTCCCTTCTTTGTTTGTCTCCCCTTACTTTTTTTTTTTTTTTTTGGAGAGATTTTCACTGTAGGGTGCGTGCGCTCGCCAGACAGACAGAGAGAGACATAGAGACAGAAAGCGAGAAATCACCCCCCAGGGGGGATGGTCACGCCGCAATCCCTTCTCCTCTATTCTCCTCTTGGGATCTTGGGCACGCACGCACACGCGCCCGGCGTGAGTTTTAAGCCACCGGGTCCGGGACACGAACCGCGGTCGACTACGTGGGAGTCCAGCGACATAGCCATTATGCTAACTGCTGGTTCCCTCCCCTTACTTTTTATATAGGCCTCAATGCTCACTCTCCTTCAGGAAGCCCTCCCGGACTGACCCTCTGAGACTCCATCTGACTGACTTCCATCCTCTGACAGACAAGGCTACGATTTGTATTTGATCATATTTGCAGCAACTGTTCTCTGCTGCTTCATTTTGTGGGATCCAAACCCCCCAGGCGCAAGGCCGGTGCTTCTCTTTTCTCCCCTCTCTTTGCCCTACAGCACCTGCCACAGCATAATGCACACAGTAGGTGCTCCAGAAACACCCATGCTTGTCAGGTGGGCAATTCCAGGACACTGGAAACAGAATCTCAGCGTTCCCAAGACTGGGCCTTTCATCTATTTTTAGAGTTTAAATGTTCCTCAAGAAAAAAAAAAAAACAACACACCCTCTAAATGTTCCTCAAAAAAAAAAAAAAAAAAAAAACCCTCGATTCCACTCGGTCTTTATATTGCAACCACACCAGCCTTTTCATGTCAGCCAGATGTATATCTCCCTCCTCCCCACCCGAAACACACCAGAATTTGAAAAATGAGGCGCTGGGCCTGAGAGCGGGAGATAGAGAGTGCTCGCTCTAAACCCTGACTGTTCTGTCAGACTGAAAACTTGGGGAGGGATTAGCTCTGGGTGAAAGGGAAGGTTCTGAAGGCTCAGCCCCGGGCGAGCAGAGCTGGGTTTTCTATGTAAAGATACATGGGATTTTGAAACGAAGTCCTTGATTCTGGAAGGTCAGCACTGTTGTTAGGCATCCCAGAGCACTGTCACTCCCTGGGGGGCAGGTGCAAGAACAGATCTGGTCACCTTGAAATGAGGACAGAGGACTGGCCCTGAAGTCCTGGTTGCAGTGGGTGTGGGCAGGCAGGGCTGAAGGTGGGCTGCGGCTGGCATGCAGGAAACACCTTGGAGGAGGCAACGGTAGCCCCTCTGGCTTGGTGGGGCTGGGCCGCTGGGCTCTGGGACGGTGGCGGTGGGTTATAATTATGAATTTGTAATTGCGATCAAGATAAATGACCATTTGGTCTGGTGGGACTCTTAGGGTAGGGCCCCTCAGACCATCTGGTTCTGGGTGGAGAAAGACTTCCTTGATGATCCGAGTCCCGCATCCCCCAGAGAACCGCAGCCGTCATGTTCTCGTCTGAGAGCGAGCGAGTGTTCATTCCGGTCTGCCCGCACCGCAACCAGTCAATAACAGGAACGCGGTGCAATTATTAAGCGCTCCCTGTGCCAGGCACGGCTCTGCGTGCCTTACACACATTTCACCCTGTGGTGTCCCTGGCAGCCCCACTAGACGGATCAGTATCTCCATTTGTGCGTGGGAAAATGGGCACAGAGGGGTTTCGTCTCACAGCCAGCAAATGGCAGGGTCCTGTGACTGGGAAGCCCCCCTGCTGACCACTCTCCTGGGGCCTAAGTTGTGACACCGGAGGGGCTTTCCCAGAATACCTGGGTTTTCAAGCCATCTATCACTCGGTGCTCCCCAGCCCCCAGGAGTGCCTGAGAGGCTATAGCTGGAAGTCAGAGATTGGGGAGAACTCAGAGAGGGGTGGAGACGGAGGATGACTGCTCCCCTGTGTCAGAGGACCAGCCAGCCAAACCCTGTGCCCGTTCTCCAAGTGAGGAGTGGAGGGGCCTGCCAGCCTGGGTCGCTGGCAGATGTGGTTGCAGAATCAGGACTTCCCACTCTAGCCAGGGGCCCAGTGATCACATGGTTTTGCTCTGCCTGGGTACCCTGCTTCTTCATTCCACTCTGGGAGGGCAGGAGTCTGTCCTGTCACCAAAGTCCCCGTGCCCACGTTGGTCCGATCGGTGAGAGATGCCCAGTCAATATTTGTGCAGAGAACCAAGACCAGGGTGCTCAGCCGGCTGGCTCTGCCCTCCAGCATCCCTCCCGGTAGGGCAGAGCGCTGCAGATTTCCACCTGGAACGCCAGCCTGGTGGGAAGCCGGTGGGCGCGGTGGGCCGGTCTGGAAGACCATCAGCCGCAACTCCATTCCAGCCTCCCATTAAGCCACCCCTGACCCTGCCCAACAGGGACGACAGAATCAGGGGCGAATGATTCATTCCCACTCTTGAGAAGTAGAGAGGGGTGCGTGGGAGGATGGGCCAGGGTTGTGTGATCGGGTGCTGGCACTGAAAGACGGTTGGCTCGGGTTCTGGAGTGCCCCGCTGGGCTGGCTGGGAAGGGGCAGAGGACAGCCGCCGGGCTGGGCCGGGAGCAGGCTGGGGCTCTAGCTGGGACTTTGGGGTGAGGGGGGGCGCGCAGGCGGAAGGCATTGGCGGCACAGCGAGCAGCGCCCTTAGAGGGGGTAGGGAGGGAGGGATGGAAACGAGGTGCCAGAGGGCAGCCTGAGCCCTAACCCGCCATCCTCCTAAAACACCCTGTGTGTGGGCGTGGCCCCCCAACCTCGGCGGGCGGCTGGGGGTTGGCGCACAAACGGGGCTGCAGAGGGGAGTCCGGAGCGCTGGCGGC